TTACAGCCCATTTGGGTTTTTGGATAGGCATATATTGAATCAAAATCCGCTAAATAATCATATTTTACTACTACATCTTTAGTTTTAAGAGTATATTTTCCCATACGTGTTCACCACCAAAATACACATATAAATCAAATTAGGACTAGAGTAAGGCCGTTATATACCAATTTAGTTCAAATAAAATACCAATAAATTCGATTAAAACAGTTAACAGCTATATGTTATCTTTTTTTGCTACTAAAATTTAGAATAAACATGGCTAAAGCAAGCTACAGAACGTATGTATGTCTGCCCCGCGATGAACAGTTGGTTGCCTATCCTATCTTGACAACAGGCGTTTATAGTAAAATCTACGTTACGCGCGGTCTAGTTATAATAAGTCTGTGGCGTAATAATATATGTATAGATAGATAGATAATAGACATGGAAGATTGCGATTTGTACGACGAAAGAAAAAAAATAGTTTGTGTAAATAATGCAGCAGTGGGCAGTGAACGTATAAACGGTTGACGCCATCTATTAGTTATATTGCGATTTAAACGGCGAAAGAGAAAAGTCTTGTTTTTACGTCTTTCCGTACAATTTTTTGAAAATTTTCTTTTATACAAACCTTGTCCTGATAATGAGAAATACAACAAAAAAAGAATTATCTAATTTGGTCCAGTCGTTCTGAAGTGATGCGCGTACATAAATTTCGGCGATTCATTTTTATATATATAGATAGGGATACTGCGTACTGAAACAAGTACCCAGCATGTTTATCGAGAGTACTGCAGACTATTTCCGAGGGAAACTCCAAAGAATTATAGTAAATATTGAAAAACGCATTAAATTAGATGTAAGAATGTGGTACAATATTGACAATAGTAGCATTTCCATTGTAGATAACTTCATTGGTCACAATTCAAACACTGCCCAATTAAGTATTTCAATTATGTCAATCAACTGAACACGTACAAGTGGCTTATAGTGTTTCATAGATGATTCGATCCATTGTAAAAATACCATAACCCGTCCAGCAAATATGTCAAGATATAATCTCTGTCTCAACTAATATTAAAACAATAGGCAGTTCTAAGTACCATCATACATTTTAATATGAAAATTAGAGAATTGTTTGAAGATCAGTGACTAATTTATTAGCGCCTTTTACGTTTACCTAACCACTGCATGTATGTTACTGCTACAATTGTAGAGTGGTTCATAAGCGAATTTTAGCCCCACCACTGTTAAGTTAATAAAATTGTTCATTTAACATTTTTTAGAAAGATGCATATTGCGATGAAAAATAATATAATGACAGTAAAGTTTACCCGCCCACAGACGAAATGACCTGCAACATATGATTTTGGGTCAGACGCACCGTGAAGTCAGTTCGCCTATTTGGAATTTTTAAAAAAGACATACGGAAATGCAAACAAACGATGAAAATAGTTAAACAAACGATAAACAAACGACCTGCATTGATAAACAAACAAAATTATGATTTTGGGCGAGCCACCGTGAAGTTAGCTCGCCCATTTTGAATTTTTAAAAAAGACATACTGAAATGTAAACAAACGACGAAAATAGTTAAACAAACGTAAACAAACAATAAACAAACGACCTGCATCGATAAACAAACAAAATTATGATTTTGGGGGAGCCACCGTGTTGTTAGCTCGCCCATTTTGAATTTTTATAAAAGACATACGGAAATGTAAACAAACGATGAAAATAGTTAAACAAACGTAAACAAACGATAAACAAACGACCTGCATCGATAAACAAACAAAATTATGATTTTGGGCGAGCCACCGTGAAGTTAGCTCGCCCATTTTGAATTTTTAAAAAAGACATACGGAAATGTAAACAAACGATGAAAATAGTTAAACAAACGTAAACAAACGATGTGCATACAAATAATATTAATATGAACAATGGGCGGTGCCAACTTCACGGACGTTGAATCTTATGTACAGAAAAGTACAAATGTACAGGAAGTGAAACTTGTTGACATTCATAGTAAGATAAAGAATGTGTTGTACTGATATACTTAGGTAATAATTCTATTATTAGGTCTCTTAGTGAAGCTTGTAAAGAAGCATGAACTGTTACATTTACTCGTTTCCGCTTTAAGAGAAAATGTTGATAAACTAGAAAAAAGGATTAATCGTAAGGATGTGGAAGGTGTATCCTCGGCAGAATCAATTCGCACAAAATTTTCATTACCAATAGATTCTCACGAAAGTTTAAAGGAATTTAATACGTATCTTGACTCAAAGGACTTGCGTAACGCATCATAGGGATTTCAATGTAAAATTCATAACATGCAATTATTGGCTCCCCAAATTATTTTAGAGCAAAAATGTATTAAGGTTTTTTGTAGAAAAAACATTTTTTACGCCAATCAACCGTATTAGTTTTCAATTTTTTGAATACTAAAGACGGAAAATTGGAAAAATAAACTCCCATCTTTTTCAATAATTTGTGATGCCATGGAATTTATAATAAAAAAACTACGCCAATATCCGTCATGCCATGAAATGTCTGCTATAAAACAAATCAAATTCTATCAAAAGGTATTATATTTTGAACAGCGAATTCAACATAAAGAAAGACCAAATTACTAAAAACGGTTTCCTAATATAACAATTTACAATAAATGTTCGAATAAGTCACCATTTAGTGCAACACAATATAACCAAGTCGATCATAAAATCCATTTCGAAGTGCTTCTAATTGCTAACTGGATATCTTTTTGTTTTAGAAAATTCCATGGCATCGCAGATTATTGAAAAAGATGGGGGTTTATTTTTCCAATTTTCCGTGTTTAGTATGCAAAAAATTGAAAACTAATACGGTTGATTGGCGTAAAAAAAAATTTTCTACAAAAAACTTTAATACATTTTTGCTCTAAAATAATTTGAGGAGCCAATAATCGCATGTTATGAAGTTTACATTGAAATCCCTATGATGCGTTACGCAAGTCACCACCCTGTATAGCTTTTAAGGTTCATGAAGTATCATTATTAGGCGGTAAACATCTTTACGATTTTGTATTTAGAGCTGGGAAAGATTTAATAACTAACGGATTTGCTTTCGAAGTCAGTTATTTTGGAAAAAGGAATAAGGATGCATTTCAAAAGTTGCCTTTAAATAAACTAATTATTCGTATGTATCAGCAAGTATTTGAATATCAATATACACAGTATCTTTATTTTAGAGTCTGCATTACGTGCATACAGGGACACCAATGTTAAAGAGGGGGAAATACAAATAGGGAAGTAATTGAAGAGGGCGGCCGAACGATCAAAGAAAGAGAAAAATGTCAAATAGGATTGTATTTTAGTTTATTTTCTATACAGGGTGATTCCTATAGTACCTGCCACCGTTTGGGAGCGTATAGGGGGTGCCTAGGGGAGTATTTTGATATAGGACACTTGGGGTCGGAAATCTAAAATAAGGGCGCCAGAACCAAATTTATCTTCTGGAATTTCACGCCTGTATGTAGGCAACCCAACCGACCGACGTTTCGCGCGGAGCGATGCAGAGCGAGTTAGCGCGAGGAAGCGACATGGGAGGGAAGGAGGGAAAACGACAGTCAAAAACAATAACGTTTACAAGTGTTCAACGTGGCCACCGTTGTTCTCAATGCACTTCCTACATCTAGCCAACTATTATTATACTATTGCCATGTGTTTATTCACTTGATACGCGTCGTTGCAGACGGGATTTCGTGGGTTTAAACAAAATTCTGATCAAGTGTCAGCCACACATCGCCGCCTGAGATCGCTCCGTGTGCACCGCCGGCCGGTTGGGTTGCCTACCTACAGGCGCGAAATTCCAGATGGTAAATTTGGCTCTGGCACCCTTATTTTAGATTTCCGACCCCAAGTGTCCTATATCAAAATACTCCCCTACGCACCACCTACACGCTCCCAAACGGTGGCAGGTACTATAGGAATCACCCTGTATTTATTTTCTAAAAAAGCCATTGGGGCGAAGGGGGGTTGACATCCACATTTGGTCTAATATGTACGTACACTGTATGCAAACGTTGGGCGTTACTGGGACGTCCAATTTAGTAACAAAAAGATCAATTGTGTACCAAAAATGAACTTTAAGTGGACCAAATGGGGATGTATCTGATATCATGTACGAACATACGTCCATATGATGTCATCCAATGGACGTCCATGGGACGAATTTGTGTTACATGGGATCAGATAATTCATATACATATTTATATATTTCATATAAGTATTCGGATATTTAGAAGATTCGAATTTCTCTAATACGGTCCATTTTAGAGAAAATATGTATGTGACGAAAATTACAGATGATGACAATAACATGATGTATTTCAGGTTCCATCAACTACAAAGGAATGGGAAAAAACAATGACTGACTACTACGTAACATGGAATTTTCCTAATTGTTATGGCGCAATGGACGGGAAGTATGTAGTAATTCGTTGCCCATCCAAAAGTGGATCTGATTACTTCAATTATAAAAAAGATTTCAGCATAATTTTGTTTGCACTTGTTGATGCCAATTACAATTTTCTCTACATTGATGTGGGAGCAAATGGAAGGGCTAATGATGCTGCCGTATTCTCAAAATCAGTATTTAATGAAGCGTTAGAGCAAAATACTTTGAACGTACCAGAAAATGGTGTTTTTGTTGCGGACGATGCTTTTCCATTGAGAACTAATATACTTAAGCCTTATCCCAGAATAGTAACACTGGAAGAGACTAAATCTATCTTTAACTATCGACTTTCAAGAGCTAGGAGGGTTGTAGAGAACAGCTTTGGAATATTAGTAGCTCGATTCCGTATTTTTGAACAACCAATACCTTTGTGTGTGCCTACAGCAGTGCAAATCGTCAAGACCACCTGTGCTTTGCATAACTGGTTGAGAAAAACGTCAACTAATAAGAATCCTTATCTTGAACGCGACTTGATGGATTCGGGAGACTGGGACCACGGAAATGGAAAATGGCAATTGCTAATTTGGCGGTTTTGTGGTTCTTTTAACGGTGGGATTATTTATACACTAGAATACAAAACATATTTATAATAATTTACATGTCGATGGCGTTTATGTTCCGTCGGGGGTCGTTACTCGGTAGACGGCTCAGTGCAACCCTGGCGTATGGCGTCGGTGTCTCGATGAGTATTAGCTTCCACGTTGGACGGACAGGCGTTGGTGGTCGTTTGACTGGCGATGGCGGTAGAGGGCTTAACAGTCGCGGCATTCGTGATCGCTGTGGGACATGCCTTATTGCATTGCGGCGGGCCTTCCGCTCTGCTCTCGGCGTCGTTGGAGTTGGTGACATGAATCCTCGCGATGTCGGAGTGCCGTCTCGATGCCCCTACTATGTAGCCGGGGACTTTCTGCCAGGCTATAGGACAGCGCTGGGCTTTATGATTCTTTCCCTACTAGGAAGCCGGGTTAGAATGAGTTCCACTTGTCGCGCGTCTCCTTATAAAGACCGTCGTAGGCGGTGGGGGCGCGGTTTGGACAAGTGGGAGAGTGGTTTAGCGTGCGCCGCTAAACTCGTTTGCGCGCGCGTTGCGCGATGTCACCACACTAAAAACTGATGGATTATAGTTAGGGGTACGTAAATTTCGTATTTACGAAATACACGCGATAAAAGCGAAATTTGCAATATATCAGCGATAAATTCGAAATATGTACATAATTGCGATAACTGCGAAATTTAATTATCGCGCCTTGTTTTGATCACTCCAGAGAGTGGGAGAGGGAGGCGGCGCGGCGCGTGCGGTGCGACCGACTGTCGTCGTGAGGTCACAGGTCACACCATCAGTCACGTATGCGACATTGCATTGTTCGTGCGGTGCGGTATTGTTTTGTTTCGTTAATTAATATGGGTCGCCATAAGAAAGAGTTATGTGAGCGAGTGAAACAATTTCAAGAAGATGGATTGTATTTAAACGATACTAACATTGTGATGTGTAAATATTGCAACGTACGTTTGGAAGGGGAGAAGTCAGATACATTAAAGAAACATACGATTTCTGCTACTCATTTAAAAAAGAAAACTGGTCCAGGGTCCTCGGGAATAAAACGGCAGTCTACAATTATTGGTGGATTTGAAGTACAAAAGCGTGCTAAAACAGAAAAGGAAAATTTTGTGCTAGATACGGTAAAAATGTGTTTAAAAGCAAATATTCCTATGCATAAACTAGATCATCCAGCTGTTCGCAGTTACTTGGAAAAATATGTGCCTGGTTCGGGTAACCTTCCGTCTGGAGATAATTTGAGACGTAAATATGTACCTCAGTGCGGTGTTCCAGAAGAAGTTAAAAGAAAACTAAAAAATCAGCCTGTGGTCGTGGTGGCTGATGAAACTTCCGACAAACAAGGCAGGTGTGTTTTTGCAGTCTTGCTTAAAACTGTCTCTTCAGAACCAGAGCAATGTTGTTTTTTAGCAAATGTGTATTTTTTAGACACTGCTAATACTTCCACTTGCTCTCAAGCAATAATTGACACCTTGAAAGCGTACGAAATAGACTACGCTCAAGTACATGGCTTAGTATCAGACTCTGCGCGTTATATAGGTGCGTGTTTCAACTTGCTAAAAATACTGCTGGGTGACCAGATTCTGCACTTTCAATGCTGGGCGCACAAAGTTAATCTCGTCGGTGACATCTTTATAAAAGAATTCAAGGAACTGAACTCCGTTGTAGCCAAGACGAAATCAGCCTTTTTGCACTCGAGGAAAATGAAAAGTGCTTATTTAAAATTCCTGCAAGAGCACGCTCCGCAATTACCTCCAAAACTTTATCCCACGCCCGTTATAACTAGGTGGAATTCCTGGTTCAAATCAGTGATTTATTTGAATCAATATGTTTCGCATATTATTGAATTTTTAAATGAATATGAAGACGATAATTCGAGCACTACTTACCTGAAAGATTGCTTCGAAAATGACACTCTGGCTGGTAAAATACGAGTTCAAATGACATTTGTGTCTGAGTTCTGTCCAAAAATAATGAAATTGATTGACAATTTAGAGGGATCCAACTATCCGTTTGCGCACATGTTGTGGAGTAGACTTAAAGTCCTCTCTCGAGCGTCAATGTGAAGGTTCTTTTGGAGAAAACATAAAAAGTATTTTATCCACTGAAAATGCACAAGATCACAGCGATATGTTGAAGACAGCGGCTCAGAAGAGCTTGAATAAATTGTCAGTACACATGAGTTCTAACTCTACAAATGAATGTTACCAGCAGATTGGCAGATTATTTTGTCTATCTGAAGCAGCGGTCGTGTCCACATCATCTTTGAATACAAGTCAAACATCGGAAAGTTTCGAGAAAATTCCATTCTTCAAAGATGTACCACAGGAAGAACTGATAGATGGGTATACTCATTTTCATCGGAAACTGCTTCAAATTGTCAGCCAAGGAACTACTGTTGATGTAATGCAGATTTTAATAGCTACAAAATTGTGCGACCCTCACTTTGCGAAAGCAGCTATTCAAAGCCTCAATAGTCCAACCAATAGTGTGGATGCGGAAAGGTATTTTAGTATGTATAACATTGTTATAAATGATCGGAGGCAACGTCTAAAAGACGATAATGTGGAGACCACTACAATGCTAGCCTTTAATTAAATTTTTTCTTGTAATTGTGTTTTTTGTTTATGCGAAATAAATGCGAAATTTTGGTTTTTCAAATTTTATAAATGCGAAATTTTGGATTTTTATTTGCGAAATTTACGTACCCCTAAATATAGTATATATCTCGGTAAATGTCGAATGTATCAAAAATGTTCTATATGAAAGTTGTTTAACATTTTATTTCTCATAATAAGGCAGCATTCAGTTGTTTATATTTCAGAAAACAAATGAGTAATGAAAAACGATTGAATTTTTTAAATTGACAGTGCACCTTTTCATTAGACACATTTCATAAAGAATGTTTTCCTCTTTCGATGATGGAACGTGTTAGTACCTACCCCCCAACACAAGAAAATTGTTCAAAAAAACTTATCACATCAATAACATTAATCTAGATGTCCTCATCAAAATAAAACAAATGAATGTGTACGTTTGTTACCGTTTTATTGCTAATTTCATTTATTCTTCAAGGTTTAATAAGAAGTACACGTTCATTTGTTTTATTTTGATGTAGGATATCTAGATTAATGCTATTATAATAAGTTTTTTTGAAAAATTTTCTTGTATTAGGGTACTAACATGTACCAAGTGAGCCCAATGAAAGGGTACATTGCTCTATTTAAAAAAATTCAATTGTTTGTCGTTACTCATTTGTTTTCTGAAATAAACACAACTGAATGCTGCCTTATTACGGGAAATAAAATGTTTAACAACTTTTACATAGAAAAATTTTGTATACATTTACCCAGATATACAGATATACTATATTCCATACATAACGGGAACCCTGTATAATTTCTTCGGGGTGGAGTTTTTTGGGGATCAATGAGAAGAAGCAAATTTTGGTACATAAATAGAGAAAGATCAAGTATTCGTTGTTAATGGAAATTCTTCGGGTGTAGCGCTAAAAATGAATGTTTTTCGAGCAAGCGACGGAGGCGAATCTTCCTTCAGGGCTAAAATTAAGTGGAGAGAATATTCCACGCAAAGGCGAATTTAGCTGGAGGATAATTTTCTTGAGAAACCGATTTTATAATTAACATCGCAGTTATTTTAAAGACAAGATCAATCCTTTGAGGCAGATTATTCCTGGAGCAAGATCTTGAAGGGTGTGAATATTCTGGGTTCGAATTTTTCGAGGATGAATTCTTCTGGGACGAACTTTTCAGAGGCTGGCTTTCTCGGGAACGAAGTATTTCCATACTGTCTACACATAGAATAAAATTTCCCTACAGCCTTCAGCGTCTTTTTGAATATTAGTTTCTACAAAATCGACTTTATAAACCCACTTTTATTGATACTGTAGACTATCATAGTCGCTTGTGGCTCTATTACTTTACTAAGAAATAAAGGATATTCAAAGAGCTTATTCGATCTCGTCTTAAGTTTCTTCTCGAGAACCTACATAAAAGCGGCAAGAAAAAACAATTTGAGTGGTCGGTCCCAGTCAATTAACCTCCTTTTTCATTGCCGAAACGCAAATTTCCCCCTAGTATCGAAATGTGTGTCGTTCCATTAAACGAAAATCCGAGCGTCACCAAATTCGATCGACAAATTTTTTCCGGCAGCAACCAATTGAAAAGGCTCCAGGATATTGTCAGGTAAATACGTTCCCCCCATTTCGCGGTTACAAATCCCGTCGTTCGCCGCGGGCTAAATTTTCTCTAATAGTGACACGCCATTGATTTCCAATCGCATCGAATTTTCGATAATAGGCTGAATATAAATAGCGGCTCCTTTGTTGTTAGCCGGTTTTAAAACAAAATTTGATTAACACGACATTGAAGTATTCAACTTTAACCTCAACGGTAACGACGTCAAACTTCCGAAATGGGTAAAGTTCCGCCGTTCACGAGCTTTAAAAACTTCCCCAAAATTTAAAAATATCTTTTATGTGTACGGCATTCGTGGCCGTAATAATTTTTTTACTTCGTTAAAAAAAATCGAATTATTTCGTAAAGTCGGTTGTAACGGGATCGATTTCTCCGGTTTTATAGCCGTCTGAAAGTTTTATGATTGATACTTTGCATAATCTATTTTTAGATTAAGAAAGTAAATTTTATGGATTTTTACATTGCATTAATATTAAAAGGAAATTGCTCCCATTTTTTTTGGGGGGCTGAGCCCTTTGTGTTTTATCATGTAAATGTCGACGCTCGTACGAGATGGTGCGTGTTTATAATGCACAACTTCTTCAGGATTTCATTACGTACGTTTTCACGTAGATCTCAGATTTTATTTTGTCCAAGTTTGCCTTTACACATATGGGTTGAGTAATGGGGGAGACGTTCTTGTAATATTACCCTAAGTCACTTATAAAGTATCGAACCTTATTTGCATTGGATGTTTTTCACCACTAATTAGTATGTCGCATCAGCAGGAATTGTAGAGAAATTGTTTAAACAAATAAACTGCATGTAAACAACTGCAACAGCACGAGATTTAATTTTTTAAAGTGAGAACAAACTTAAAGGCACATTAAGCAAACCGATTTAGAGCTTCGAATTTGTTCGAGCAGGTAGTAAAAGAAAGTCCAAAGCAGAAATTAAATTGAAAGCAGCATGCTTGCACCACGCCACTTCCGTCGAATTTCCTTCAATCATGCACTTTGCATACAGATCAAGCTTTTACCTGTATGCAAAATCGCGGAACGGAGTTGTTATGATTTTCTCAACGGAATTAGTTCGAGGGGCGAAGAAATTGCGTGCGACTTAAACAAATCAATTGATATACAAATTTTTCCGAAACATGTAAGGCAATAATTCATCAACGAAATAGATTCGTGTGATTTAAGAGCGACCATAAAACTACGCCCTACAAACTTTTCCCTTAACTTTTTAACTGTGCTAAATTTATTTTATTTTCCCTTTTCAAAGAAGTTCGTAGCTTGAGCGAATATCTGTTTATAATCAATAAATGGGCGATATAAATGGAATTCGATTCAGAGTAAACAAAACGTGCCTGTTTATAATAGGTTCGATGAATTGTAATGGGCCCGTAACGGATGTGCTGTAAAAAGGGCATAATTCACATTTCGCGCATTTCGATGAATTATGAAACCTTCGTTGTTACCAGCGCCCCAAACAATTAGTCACAATTTGTCTGACTGGTGGCGTATGACTTGAATTAATAACACGGCTGTTGATATCTCTTCTAATTACGCACATTTCAATATTTGACTAATCCGTACAGATTGATTGAATTGAAATATCATCACAATTAGCTACCCCTTTTTGTTAAAAAAACATTGAGGCTACAAGTGTAACATTTTATCATCAAATAGAGCATACAAATTTATGATACAGGAGTAAGTTACGAAGCCGATCCGTAGAGATTAGTTACATCAAAGTATCAAGCCGATTTATATAATATCAAATGATGCCAAGGTTCGATGAGGACTAAATTTTAATTAAAGGAAATTACGTAACCAAAAACAGCTAATCGATTTCCAAATAGATTTCGTGCGTTTCATGCTTGCACGAAGAGTTTCCTTAATTTGTATGTATTAGATGACAAACAAAAATTTGGCCACATACAGAATGCAATCACGAGTGGGTGGTAAATTTGAACATCGTCTTGCGATTTTCTTGCGCTACAACTTCTAATTATATTAACAAGATTTCAGTCGGGATTAAGTTGTGCTGCTTTCTTCGATAAGGCACGCAAACTATTTCGATGGAGTTCTCGTCAAAAATTAGAATGCGATACCGTGAGCTTATTATACACGCGCCGATTTATTCATGACGCATTAGTGAAAATACGTGCACTTTAAATTTAATTAACACCATGCACTTACCGAAGCTCTTCGATGGGAAACAAATCAGAGAAGCTCGCGAGGGATTACGTTCAAAATCGCATTCAACATTTCCCACTTCGTCTTTTTTCACCCAGTGCTTTAATGTAATCGCTACAGGGCCGACTGTCAAAGTATTGCTGTGTGCAATGGTATGCGGTCACTAAGTTACCTATACAACACCTGTTCAGCTAGCTCAAGACAAATCAAAATTGAAACTTTATAATCTCTCCTCGTACACATACGGCATCTGCTGGAAGAAAAATCTTAAAATGACTTAAAATTTCTCAGATCGATAGACTCGGTGGCCACGATCCAACTTCCCAAAGAAAATTTACACACATTTTGATTAACACCTGAAAAATCTGACATGAAAACTCATCTGTGTCGCACAAAGGATTCGAATAAACACACAATTAATTGTTTGGACATATTACTCCGTACGCAGACGGTCGACAATTAAAATTAAATTACAGTTTTTTCTTAATAAACCAAATAATATGTTTGCGACACTATGCGCACTAAACTCACACAAACACTGACAGCTTCTGAACTTCATTTTGATTTATAACACAGATGAGAAACAAAATTGGCTTGATAAATAAGATGAACAATGGCTGTTCGGACGGTACAAACTTTTAACTTTTAATAAGAAAATAATCTCAACAAAAGGCCTCACTGTAATTACACTGCATCAACTCGATAAACTTTTTCCGTAAACGCACAGGAAGGATTCAACTTACCACACAACTTCGGTGAACTTGCTTCAGACAAGATTTATTATAAAAAATGACGAGCTATGTCTTCAACAAAACAAATGAGGCTGACTGTTCGTAATTTATTGTAGACAGATGTACACGATTTTCAACCGTCGCGAAAACTCACAGCACCAGCCTCCGGTATTTAAGAAAACACCACTCCCACCAAAAAATAAAGTCTGTCCTGAAGAATTGTTAAATAAATTTCACCTGATAAAAACTCCTTATCGGAAATGGAAATATTCTCAAATACAGGGTGTCCCGTCCATATTTTTGTATAAAGAGTATAACCTGATATTAATTGCTGGTTGTAATTCAAAAACATGTAATTCAAGGATTAATTGGAATTCCGAATTATATAAATATTATGGGAACATACCTATCAGCTAAACATAATAACCGAGGAGGTGTTTTTTCACATCAGGAAGAATCATTTAG